ATAAGGTTAAATGACTTTTAAGTGTGGTCCCTAGCTAAAGTTTTCAACTCAGTGACTGTGTGATGCTAGCCATTGTAAAATCTCTCTATTTGATTTACCGGTTTGGTTTTGGTATGTCTTTTAAAAAGCAACTACTCTTCCCCGGCTATCACTACTATAGCAATTCACAGAAATACAGGTGATTACTGTAATAATAATGTGTCAGTTAGAGAGTGAGAGGTACTTTTTATCTGTTGAACCCACCAAAATTGACCCAAATAAAAAAAATAGAATAGCCTTTGATCCAACTTTATCAATAAATCCAACTCCAAGTAGAATTATACTTTTTAGTCTGTATCAATGATTCTCAATCCTAGTTGTGTCGGAATTACCTGTCAGGCTTTAAAAAAACTACCCAGATACAGTGAATCTGTATAACTTGAAATGGAACTTTGGCATCTGTATAATCCACAGGTGATCCTGATGTGAAACCAGGGTTGATAATCACTTCTGTGTGTAAGTCAACTACTCATTTGAAGCAAATTTTGTTTCAATGTCATACAAAAAATTTTTTTAATAAAAAGGTTTTTTTTTTTGGTTTAGGGATTTTGGAGAGGGGAGGAGGGTATCTTAGGCCCTAAATTAAGGTCTTTGTGATATATCATTAAAGCAGAAAATTTCCTCTTGGAAGACCCGATTAAAGACTGACAAGGTTTATGAATAGAGTACACCTATGACATTGTTGTATCTTAACCTTTCCTGAATAGATTTAAATGAGAAACTTTATTTAGGGAAACATGTTTTTTCAATATGGGGAGTGGGGAGAGGAATAGGAAGAAAAGTTTTAACAAACAGCACGTTTTATTGTATTCTCTCCATGTAATAAATTTTGCAAATTAAAAAAAAGCAGTTAATATGCTTGTTGTAGAAAACTGGAAGATTCAAAGAAAATAAAGTAGCTAGAAGTCCCCTACTTATTGTCATTACATTGCTATATTTCCTTTCTTTCCAGGAACTTTATATATCCTAAAATGAACAGAGATACAGACATAAACATACCCCCAAAACACAGGCTATACACAGTATCATCTCTTGCTTGTTACTGTGAGGGCACTTTTTAAAAATAGTATTCGTGGCTGCGCCTGGTGGCTCACGCCTGTAATCCTAGCACTTTGGGAGGCCAGATGGGAGAATTGTTGAGGCCAGGAGTTTGGGACCAGCCTGATAACATAGCGAGACCTCATCTCTCTGAAATAGAAAAATTAGCTGGGCATGGTGGCTTGCACCTGTAGTCCTAGCCACTGGGGAGGCTGAGGCAGGAGGATCACTTGAGCCCAGGAGTTCAAGGTTGCAGTGAGTTATGATGACAGCACTGCACTTTAGCCTGGGCAATATAGCAAGACCCTATCCAAAAACAATTAATTAGCATTCATGTGCTTTCTTTTTCTAGTAAACATTGCAATTTATTGTGTGGTTTTATTAGTGTTACTTTTGTTTCAGGATTATGGGGTAATAGTCTCCAAAGATGGTTAAGAGTTTGTGTTAGATCATCTTTATCACAGTACTTTTTTCGTATTTTATTTTCTCAACATTTTATGATGAAAACTTCCAACGTATATGAAAGTAAAATGATATGTTGAATACCTGTACATTTTTTGCCTAGATCCAACAATTGTTAACATTTTGCCATAGTTGCTGTCTCTCTCATCGTGTGTGTGCGCATATACGCTATTTTTTTCTTTTTTTCTTGGCCGAACCCTTCGAAAGCCAATTGCAGACATCGTAATATTTTACCTCTAAACATTTCACCATGTAGCTCTTAACAATGAGGACGTTTTTCTACATAATCGTATTACCATTATCATACCTAAGAAAATTAATAATAAATTTTGTAATGTCATCTAATATTGAGCCCGAATTTCCCCAGTTGTCCTCAAAATGACTATTATGATTGTTATTTTGAATCACAGTCTAATCAGATCAAGGCATCAATCAAGCACTGTAAACAAATCTTTAATCAAGCCCCCTACCCTTTTTCCCCCCTTGATACGGACTTTGAAGAGTCTGAGCCAATTTTTTTATCATTTGTCCTACATTGTGGATTCATTATGATTGTTTTCTCATGGTGTGCTTTAACTTGATCCTCTATTCTCTGTTTTTCTGTAAACTGAGAATTAGCTTTATTAGATTCATATTAAACATTTTTGTCAAGAATACAAGACAATTACTTCATAATGCATCCTATCAGTAGGCACATAATGTAAGGTTGTTTTGAATTTAGTCTATCAGCTTAACTATGATCATCTTGGATGATTAGAGCTTGTTCTGTTAACAAGATTAAGAAGTTATACTGTTATAGAAACCTGTAGATTTTCCAAGGATTGAGTAGTTTACTATTCATATAACATTTAAAATAATTTGTCTATTTTTACCTACATGTTTTTATTAAAATATTTAAAGCAAAAAATAAATTTTTTATCCATCAAAGCTTTAAAATATTCCCCAAATCCACAGTTTAAATTTATACAGTTTTATATTTTGTATCTCCTCTCCTACTTATCATTTAGGAGAAATGATGAAGAAACTAATGTTCTGATGGCCTGCTTTTCTGTCCTCCTACTTCTTTAAACACTAATTTTCTTTGCACTAAATCATTTATAGCCAATTACTGTTTTTTTAAGTAAGTCAGTTTTAGGAAATGCTTTGTGTTGCTGTTGAATTCTAAAAGCAGAGTAAATTTCAGATTAAACTTTGAGTAATAATGTGAAATAAGACATAAACTAGTTAGTGGTGATTTGCAAAATATAACTTTTGAGATACTACAATTGAAAGTTTTTATTAATTGACACAGGTAAGAATTGATATTTAATAAAATGTTTTCCTGCTTAGACTATATTACTTATGGTAGAGCAATTAGTGTTTTGGTGTAATATGTTATGAAATACATGTGATATCCTAGTTTGTCTACTGACACTGGGGTCTTGAATCTTAAAAAAAGGCCTCCGATGAAGCAGAGGAAAGTGGATCACAGGGAAAATTGGTGGAAGCTCTCAGGCAAATGAGAATTAATCATAGGGGAAACTACCGACAACTTCTGGAGGAGATGCTGACTAGTTACAGGCTAGCTAAAGTAGAGGGAGAAGAAAGCCCTGCTGAACCAGCTGCTACAGCTCCTTCTGCGAACAGTGATGCTGGAAACCCAGTGACAATGCAGGAAAGCCATACTGAATCAGAAAGTGGTCTTGCTGAATTAGACAGCTCTAATGAAGATGCAGGGACAAAGATGAGTGGTGAAAAAATATGACTTTCCTTTTTGGTAATATTTTTGTGATCTTCGGTTTTTACTTAGGAAGTATAATGTATGCACTTATATAACCGTTTTGTTATTTGAATCTTGGAAAACTAGTTTTATTATATTCAGATAGCCTTGTTTTTTAAAAAGGCCTTTGCATACACCTTTATGAGATAGTTTAAAATTGACTACTTTGAATTTAATGAAATTATATGTCATTTCACATTGTATACCAGAAATTAGGCTACCAGTTATTAAAGTCAGTAGTTAAATTCATGCTAGTTAGGATTAGAGATTGCTGATTAGAGATTATATTGTGGAAAAACTTGTTAATGTAGAATTATACTGCTTCATATGATTTTATATATTAGTACACTCATAGTTAGCTTTATAATAAATCTGTGTTTTCTTTAATAATTTTAGTTCTTTAAAGAATGGCTGATACTGGCCTGTAATTTTTCTTTCAAGGATGAAAATTTGTGTGTTGTTTGATTTGTTTATATTTTACATCTCTGTAGTTTTATTTTTAGAAGTTGTGAGATATTGGATGTGTGGTTATTTTTCCTTTCTCTGTATTCTTTATGAAACATAACTTTTGAAAAACCTATGTATTATTCATACAGCTTTGGTTTGTATATTCTGTATAGCCGAACTACACACATCAAAATGTATGTCAACCAAGTGTTTAGAATGAAATTATAAGTGTTTAAGTCCAAATAAAGCATGTGATGTGGAATAATCTATGCATGTTGTAATTATTTTTGAATTAATTTTTTTAAACAACCAGGTTTGGTATATTAGAAAAATACTCATTAGAAAATGGCCAGGCGTGGTGGCTCATGCCTATAATCTCAGCACTTTGGGAGACCAAGGTGGGAGGATCGCTTGAGCTCAGGAGTTTGAGGTTACAGTGAGCTATGATCGCTGTACTCCAGCCTGGGATGGATTCAATTATATTTAATGTACATAAAATTTAGCACACTTTTGGCTTAGCTTTTTTCATTAACAAAAAGGAAAAAAGTTTAGTGTAAAAATACATGTTTTGCATACTCAAAATCTATTCTGTTTCTTATCCCCGTTTGTGATACAAAATATTAATCTTCGGACAGGATGGGCACACAAATACATGTGAGAAAATTGCCACAATGAGCATATTAAAGATTGCAACATTGTCAATTTTGTTTCAAGTTTTCATCAGTTATTAATAAGGGCAAAAATTATGGGCTATTTTTAAGTTAGTGGCAAGTGTGAGTTTTGTTTTTGTTAAAAGGGATTTTTAAATTCCAGATGGCTATTGGTCACATGGGGGAAAGTGTTTTTTAAACAATTATTTTATAACTGTAGAACGTTAACTTTTCTTCTTTATGTTTATGTAATGTGCCTAAAGCTGGTTAAGTTACCATAAGTTGAAACTTTGGAATCTTTGGATGTTACAGCTGATGTTTTGATCTATTTTTCCAATGCCAGCGTATTTTTAAATGGTTTGGGAAAGGAAGGCTTTTCGTGGGGAGTAGAGGAAAAACAACCCAACCCAGTTATCTATCTATATTAGATAGATAGATGTATACATGCACAATACACAATACACAACATCTCTCTGTAAAAGTACCTTTTCAGACAAAGAAAGGAAGGTAATTTGTTCATCTAATTTTGTTTTCTTTTTGAAATTCAATCCAGTCTGGAAGTGGTATGGGTAAATAATAATATTCTTCCTTTTCTCTTCCTGTAGGGTGCTGGAGATCTAGAAGACCCATGGTAGCCTTAAAAACCTACTAAAATGCTTTTGATTCTGAAAATTGGGGGAAAAAAACTTTTAATCACAATTTTCTTCAATACAAAGGGAAAATATTCTTGTGGATTCCCAACGTTTTGTGATATGAGCAGAAAATCATTAGCATTTCCCATCATTTGTTCATATTTGTGTTTTCCAATAATTGCCACTCGTAGAATTTCCTGTACTACAGTATTTTTTGCCAACCTCAGTCATACTGGTTACATCTGTATTGAACTTTTGGCCCTAGAAACCTATGGAGTTATTTCACCACAAATCAACAAATGTTGCCTGAGGTGCATGGGAATATAGTTAGCTATGCTCTGAAAATACATGGTTTTGTTTTTTTTGTTTTTTTTAAACAAAACACAACTTATAAGCATGTAAGAGTAAAGAATTGTATGATATGTTCCTTTTTCACCAAGTTGAAAGCCTTTTGCAGCTCTGTGGCTTAGAATTTCATTTGAGCAATTTACTATAGGATATGTATTTATTATTAATTGTTATTTAATTTTTTTCCACCAGTTTTACCTGTATTACCAAACTGGGTTCTCCAACAACGTCCAAATTGTAATGTTGCCTTGCTTCAAGATAAAGTGTATTTGGCAATAATATTATAAACCCTTACAAATTTTATGCATGTATCTACTACATCCTTCAACTCTCACTAGAAAATCTTTTGAAACCAAATGGATTAATTTATGGCTATTTATAATTTGCTTTGACATCTCACTGCTGCAAATTTTTTTAAATGATGAGATTTGCCTTTATAATGTAAATTGTGATTTTTGTTTTACATGTGGGTTTCTATAGTTTTAATTTTTTCAGCTTTTAAGATAAAACAACTTTTGTGTAATTTGGTATTGTTTTTAATTGTTATTTTAAAAGCTCAGAATATCACATTGAAATTACTATAAATACAGTTAAAATTATCTATTTTAGATCTAAGAAAATATTAGATATTTTCATGGGTTCAGTAACTTTTTGTTTTATTACATTGGGCACGGTACAGAGTGGCTGTCACATAAGGTACTTGAAGATTATTAGTTTAATTCTATTTTTACAATAACCTTGAATTCTTCTGAGTTTTGCATGTATTAAATTCAATTAATGCTGAACATGAAGAGCGAAGTATTTATCTAAAAGGAGTTATTGGGGTAGGAGAGGTAATGAATGTATCCATTTGTACATGGTTTACATGTTGTGGATGCTTTGTAAACATTTTCCTATATGTTTAAATTGTGTTTCAGCAGGATGTAATTGCCCTTGTGTATAGTTAAAATGAGTCATCATCTGGTCCTGTGTGAAATGGAATTCATGGTATTTTCTGTAACATTTTCCTAAAGCTGTTTCTGGAGAGCCACACCTTTGAATACAGACAGCTTTCCTGATCATTTGATTTACTGTGCACCTGATTTTTGGTCTAAAAGGAATTATTGCCACAATATATTTTATTTATTCTTTAGATTTTAGACTTGTAAGTTAAAGTGCTTTACATGATGATGTTAAAAGCTATTTGTCTACTTTTACTGGGTGTAGGGGGTTGTTAAAAGATAGGGAATGAAGAATGCAAAATGGTTTATTGTTCAAACTGTCCACTCTGATCCAACCCTGTACTGATAGTACTTTCCAGTATGATATTGTGATGTTTCATACAATGCGGTGAACATAACCAACTTGTTACTTAAATAAAGAATTGATAAAAACAGTGTGACATATTACTATTTGGTATGATTTTTAAAAATAATTTTAAATGTTATTTTAAACATTTACATAGTTAGCATACTTGTGAAAATTTAACTCCAAAGAGGAATTAACCAAATTTTATAGAACAATATTAATTAACCCCTTCTCCACTCCAAAAATATTTTTTATACTACCTTTAAAAAAAGGTATCTTTTTCAGGAGGGTTAGTGGCCCTTGAAATACAATAATTATGAGTTAGTAAAACAAAACCCATGTCCAGTATTTACTCACCTGAATTTCATAGCCTGGCTGTTCTCAAACGTTTTGGTCTTGAGACTTATTTATACCCTTAAAAATTGAACATCCCAAAGAACTTTTGCTTTGTGTGTTATATCTATTGACATTTACTGTATTAGAAATTAAAACTGAGAAATTATATGTACTGTTTTAAATTCATTTAGAAAACAGAATCATTACATGTTAACATAAAATCATTTTATGAAGAATAATTATTTTCCAAATTTAAAAAACTTAGTGTAAAAAGTGGCACTGGTTTTCATTTTTGTAAACCCTTTGATGTTGGGCTGGATTCATACATCTGCTTCCGCATCCAGTCTGTTGCAATGGGTCATGATGAAGAAATCTGTTCTCACAAAGATATTTGGAAAAGAGAGGAGCATTTTATGACTTCAGTTCATTGTGCATATCAAAACTTGACAGCTGGTAGTTTCTTGAAGGTTGTAGTTAAAATGTGAAATCTGAAACTGTATTGACAGACTTTTCTTAGTTTGTTACATTAAAATCCACTGTCTTAAATTTCGAATGGATCTTCTACCTGTGCATGATTTTGTAACATTTTAAATTGATCATTTGGAAAATATTGGTTCACTTAATTATGCAGTTCTTCTGAATACTGACATGTTATTATGCAATGATTAAAAACATTTTGGTAATATAACTGATCTTGTTAGAAAAATCTTTTAAGCCAGGCATGGTGGCTCACGCATGTAATCCTAGCACTTTGGGAGGCCGAGGTGGGAAGATTGCTTGAGCCCAGGAGTTTCAAGACCAGCCTTGGAAACAGAGAGAGACCCTGGCTCTACAAAGAACTAATTCGTTTGGTGCTACTGTCTTGATTTGTGCTAAGGATCCTGCAGTTTTACCCACTGTTTCTTTTGCACAATTAGTGCAAATGTCAATATGTTGAAAAAGGCTAGTAATGTTGTGAAAATAGTTTTGACTTCATTGACCTCCTCGAAAGGTTCTTTGGGACTCCGAGACTTTTGGAACTGCTGCCCCAGTCCATCTGGACAGCTTCATAGTGTGTTCATTTATTCCGGATATCATAATATAGTAGTAAATGAGTCTTAGAATATTAATATGTAGGTCTGATATGAAATTTCTTGGCAGAGGTGTAGTGGTGGAGGATGGTCACTGTGACACTGGAACTTTGAAAGCAAGATAAATAAGGTGAAGTCTTTAATGTTACATTTTTTTTTCCCCAGAAAATTTCTATGTGTTTCAACTTGGGGAAACCCATGATTTAAGGTTAAGCTTAGCAATAGAATATAATTTTCATATGACATATATATTCATCTTTTAAGGTTTCTTTAAGTAGTCTATAGATGTATGGGATTTCTTTGAAAAGGTCTCATTCTATACTGAATTTTTAAATTGATATTTTAAATTAAAAAATTTTACTACAATTGAGATGCCTCATCAGGTTGGCCATTTAAAGACAGGACATTGACTTTTTTTTTTTGAATGTCAATGAAGTGGATAACAGCTTTATGCTGAAGTTTTATTGTTAGGTTTTTTAATTTTTTGCACATTCAACAGGGGTAAGGAAAGGTTCTGTGGAGGTATAACTTTAAAAAAAAAATGTGCACTTGGCCTGATGCGGTAGCTCACCCCTGTGTTCCTACCACTTTGGGAGGCCGAGGTAAGAGGACTCCTTGAGGCCAGGGGTTTGAGACCAGCCTGAGTAAGAGCAAGACCTCCTCTCTGTAAAAAAAATAGAAAAATTAGCCATGCGTGGTGGCAAGTGCCTGTAGTTCCCAGCTGCTCTGCAGGCTGAGGCAGGAGGATCGCCTGAGCCTAGAAGTTAGAGGTTGCAGTGAGCTATGATGATGCCACTGGACTCCAGCCCAGGCAACAGAGCGAGAACCTGTCTCGGGAAAAAAAATACATTCATAATTTCTGTCACATAGAAGTTTCTTGCCCAATGAAATGTCTGGATCGTTATGGTATTTACTTAAGTTTCTTTATTACTTGAGTTTTGGTTTTAAATGTTATTGGATAGCTAAAAGTGACTGCAATTCTAATTTCTCCTTAAGTCTTTTCTTAAGTCAGTTTTATTTTGAGATGTGTGGAATTCGTTTGGGCTTTAATGTCTTTTCATGGTGTCATCAGCCCCTCTTGGACCAGCTAGCTAGACTGTTCTCATAAAAAAACTGTAGCAAAATTTTAAACTAAAATGAATGTTACCAATATAGAAACAAAACAAGGTACCTATCTGTAAGCTTAGTTTATAGGGATTCCTTTATTCAATGTAGCAGACATTGAAACTTCAAGTTGCATATTTTCTGAGATTAATTTTTAAAGTAGCATTGTGAAGAAAAACAATCTAAGCAACAAATTCTTCCAAGCCTCTGTACCACCTGAGTACAGTTTATGACCAAGAATCATAATTTCTTAAAATATAAATTCATTGGGAGTTGCACTGTCATTGAAAAAAATTATAATTTTCCTGTGTGAAAATGATGGTGCTTCCATGCCCCTTGAGTCCTTTTTCTCCCCAGGTTTCAAAATGGTTTTTAATAACAAGGCAAGCCTGGTGCAGTGGTTCATGCCTGTCAACCTAGCACTTTGGAAGCTGAGCCAGGAGTTCCAGACCAGCCTGAGCAACATAGCAGGACCTTGTCTGTACAAAAAAATAGCAAAGTTAGCCAGGTGCGGTGGCTCACGCCTGTAATCCTAGCACTTTGGGAGACCAAGGTGGTAGAATCGCTTGAGCCCAGGAGTTTGAGGTTGCAGTGAGCTGTGATGGCACCACTGCACTCGGCCCTGCAGCAGAGCAAGACCCTGTCTCAAAAACAACAACAAGAACAAAAACAAGGGAAATAGTTGGGGGAAAGTGTTTCTATAATATGAATTCAACATTTGAGCCAGAAATGAGAAAGAGCCTCACTAGTTTACATTTCAAACTGCCTGAAATTCTCGGTGGCATGAGACCAAGTATAAATAAGTAAATATGTATTCTCACATATATTATGAATCAAGTTTTTGTTTCCAAACACAAATTAGTCATACAGAAACTATGTATTTTCTAAAACCTTGGGAAATGCACAAACCAGAGCAATATATGTTGCCTGAGTTTTTATTCAGCTTTAGCCATTGAAATTAACCTGAAGATGTCCATGAAATTTCTTTTGCCAGCCAAATCTTATAATTCTCTTGAATTTAGACTATATTTTTAAAATGACACCTCAAATTCACATTTCTTTTTCCAAATTGCTTTAGTTTATATTTTGAAGTTGATCTTGTTTAAGTGTTAAGGAAACACATTTGATAAGATTTACTTTGGAACACATTTTGCGTTGAGAAGCTAAATAGCAGTGGAAAATAGCAAATTGTGATTTTTTTCACATATTAGACCGTCTTTAGGTATGCAGAAAATCCATTATATTTGTAAGGTAGCCAAATGCTAATGTAATCATTAAGACTAGAATTTAAGTGATGATTTAATTTCAAAGCAATTCTGAAGTTACTTGCTTTTATAAGGAAATTCATAATGGGCATTGTAACAATTTGCATCGTCTTTTTATGATAAATTGCTTTTTTCTATAAAACTTTGGGAATTCTGTAAACCCTAAAGAAAATGCTAAGCAAGTGTTTATTTTTGCCCACTGTTTCGGTGGTTTGTGTGTTACATTGTGGTCTAGGAGTAAAACTATGCAGCTACTAATAGAGAATAAATTGCTTTTTAGACAGCATCATCACCATTTCTTACTTCCTGCTGGCTTTCCTGGCTGTGGTATCTTCTCCTTTATTTTTTGTGTCAGGTTTTTGTGTGTGTGTGTGTGTGTGTGTGTGTGTGTTTTTGTTGTTTGTTTGTTTTGTTTTTTTGAGACAGAGTCTGGCTCTTTTGCCCAGGCTGGAGTACAGTGACGTCAGCCTGGCTCATAACAAACTCAAACTCCTAGGCTCAAGTGATCCTCCTTCCTCAGCCTCCAGAGTAGCTGTGATTACAGGTGTATGCCACTACACCCAGCTAATTTTTCTATTTTTTGTAGCGATGGGGGTCTCACTCTTGCTCAGGCTGGTCTCAAACTCCTGATGACCTCAAGAGATCCTCCCACCTTGGCCTCCCAGAGTGCTAGGGTTACGGGTGTGAGCCACTGCGCCTGGCCTGTGTCAGTTAGTTTTATTCTACTTGGCAAACACTTCCAACAAGTACACTGTTTTCATGCTCAGATGTAATGATAGATATGCTCTTCTCATTCAGGAGTGAGGAGTGCTTAATCTTAGTATTAGAAGGTTAGTTATTGTTTCTGCTATCTCTTGAGTATCCACAACTCTAGCGGGACATAAAGGAGCCATACCTTTTATGTATGGGTAGAATTAAAGGTTTGGCGTTAGTTTTTTTCTTTTTCCTTGACTAATCATCCTACTCTATGATATTGGCAACAGTCATTTCTGTAACGATTAAATATGTACAAAAATTGCCTTATTTCCATATAACATTCACCTATAATGAAAATACTTGTGTATGTGTTTGAGGTAGAGAAGACCCGTACAATCCAGGAATTATTCTAATACGTGAGTCCGGACACCTTCTTTCCCTCTCCTGGGTCGGTTCGTTTTTATTTGTGTACTCACTATGAGGAGGTGATTTTGCTTCATTCCTAAGTCTTGAAGACATCAAGTGTAATGTATTTTGACAGAATTCTATAGTAACTTGATACAAAGAACCATGGAGTTAATTTTTATGAGATTTTGCCAATGGATAGGCATCTAATCAGTAAATTAATAT